AGTTAAAAGAAAAAGAGACACTTCCCCCCCCCCCCCCCCCCCAATTTTGACAAGGTAATCGAGTTTCTGGTTACCAACATGGATGTCAGCGCTCTGGCTTTTGTATGAGGTGTGATTTAGTGGACAGTGTATCAATAGACAAGTTGAAATGGTATTTAATGTGGGGGAAAGTTTGATTTCTGTAAAGATTCAAATTTTTACTGGCCTTCTACCAGTAAAGCACTTACTGGGTTCGTCATATGTAGGATAGCTGCTCTTCATCCCCTGGCTCTCTGTGTTACAAAGGTAAAGACATGCTGTAACATTTCATCATGCTCTTAAGTTTATCGAAAAATTTAAGCTGCCACGAGTTTTCTCTATTTTCACAAGCATTTGATGTTTCATTATCCATTGCCTGTGGGTTTTTTCAGGCTGGAAGAGTAAAGATTCAGTCCCTAAACTGGTTGCTGACTACATGAAGAAAAAATTTGTTCTGGATCCATTAATAACCCACACGCTTCCTTTCACTAAAATCAATGAAGGATTTGATCTGCTAAGGACAGGGAAGAGGTAAACATTGTTTCATTGTAAAGGTTCTATACAAATAACCTAAAGGAGCTGTACGGTAACACAGAGTATGACTTCACAGCAGAGAATGGGGAAGGCAACCCACTCTGCCCCTTAATCTCTCCCAGTGTGTGTCTGTGGGTTGCAGCTGTAGTAATAAAGCCAGCAAAGCTTTAGCTTTTGAAATGCAGCGGGCGCTGTCTTTCCTTGCAGAGGAACTTTCAGATTCTAGTTTGAGCAAAGACTCTGGGTGGCAGAGGGAGAAAAGACCACACAAATGAGGAAGTCTCTGCCCACTACCCATTGCAAAAGAGCACACGACCAAGGGAGCCTGGGAACGCCAAGCTGTAGAGTGCCAGGGGTTAGCCACATCGCATTCTGAGAAACGTTTTAGGATGAGGAGCAGGAACACAGAAATAGCCTATGTTTACCGGAAGAGCAACTCACCATTCCTCTTGGGAGTTAGGGAACAGAGTCCCAGTGCAATTAGTCCTAAAGTCACTGGGTAGCTTACCTTGAACTTCAGAGCTTTTCAAAAAGGAAAGTACTTGGTGTATATATACATTGCAAACTCAGAATTCAGCTCTCGTGCATTCCTCATACACTGTGAGAGTACAGCTCAGACTCTGTTTTCATAGAGTGTTCAAATCGGAAATACTGTTTGCCAGAGACACTGGGCAAGATTCAACCATGGGAATAATTGAAAACTCTCCTTGGCAGAAGTGGGAAATACATTTGTATACCTTAGTATGTGTGGGGACTATCCTTTTTGAAAGTTCTAGCTGTTTATAACTTATACAGTCTGGAGAATTACATTCATGTTTTCTTTTCATTGTCATTTGCTAGCAGTTATTTTAGGTGTTACTTGCTCTAAATATAAAAAGCGTGTAACAGAAGAATTTAGCCCCTGAGGTTTGGTCTCAGGTTCTAACTATGCAGCACGCACTTCATTTTTTGACTGTCCTTATTTTAGATGTGCTGTAAATGTTAGTTTTAGATTTTAGTCTGACAAACAGGGGAAAGTGGTGAGGACAGGGACGCCATCAGCTTTGCTAAAATACGGACAGTCAACCTGAAGACAGAGGCATGTGGCAGCTGACCATTTTTACTAAGTGAAACACTTCAGTGTTTCAGCCCCAAGTAGGCTGTACCATTCAGAGGTTACCCTTAGAGCCATTTGTAACTGGAAAGAAGTGCCTAAGCCCTCCTCCAAGGACTTCCCAGGCTATATTTGGTGATTAATTGCCAGGAGCCCTGGGCCTCATGAGTGAAGGCTTTGCAGTCCTGCATGAATTTTGTTCTCTGCATCTGCAGCAAGGTTTGCACATCTGCTCTGCCATTTAGCTGCAAGCTGGGGCTGGAGGGGGCAGGGAGGGAGTACCTCAGTTGCCGGCAATAGCCTGGATTTTCAGAGAAAACAGCAGTGTTTTGCTGATGTTAGCCCAGGGGCTTTTCTACAGTCACTAACTTGTCATTTTATGTTGCAGTATTCGCAGTGTCCTGGTGTTTTAGGATTCCCAACTGTTAAGCAGCAGATGGCTCAGCACCAGTACGAACTTCAGTATCCTCCAATACAACTGATACGAAATACAAACCAAGACGTTTCTGAAAGGTCTACCACCACCACCCTTGAATACAAGGATCAAGCTTAAACCCCAGACTTCAAGCACAGCGTTTATAAATTAAATAATCTTTTTCCTCCTGCCTCTTTCTCCTGATTCTTGCTTTAAATCCTCTGTATTCTGCTGCAATTTTCTTTTAATAGCCAGTTATGAATTACAGGACTTGCTGCTGTCACAGGTGTTATGAAAGGTTTGGATTTTTTTAAAATGGCTTTTAATATGCTATCTTTTAATAAAAGGAAAATGAAGCAAACTGTTTCTTTGGGCCTTCATAACACCGCAAGCTTAACAGATTTGTGCACGCAGCTCAGCACAGTAAAACTCTAGGTCAGAACTATGTATCCATCCTGAATAATTTTAGCATTCCATTACCTGGTAGGCAAGGAAATTACTGCAGAGATTAAAATTTATGGTGACCATGTGTTTGAATTAATAATTTCAGTAAATCATAGCCTTAGGTACCGGAGAATGTCTCACCACTGGGTATTTTACCAAATTAATGCTTCCAAGCATTTTATATAAAACTGCTGTGGTGTTGCTCTGTGTTGTGGTTTGGTTTTTTTTACCTTTGTACCTCTTCCTTGGGGATGTTTTAGTTGTTTTATCAGTATGGTTTTAGATCTTTGGCCAATTTATACAAGTGCAGCTGATGCTTGGGAAACAACGTGAAGAAATAGGAATGTGCATCAAGTATTATTTGTTTCCATTAAATAAAGGGGAGGTTTCTTAACCTTTACATGTGAATACAGAGTAAATGGGAAGAAACTGGTAACAGTTTGCAAGAAATCAAATATAAAGCATCTCACTGCTTTCTGCGTTTGTAACGTGGAAACAGGAACAGAGGCTATTTCTATCTCGGCAAACACAGTCAACGTTGACTTATCTTTTGAAAGTACTAATCAGAGCTTGCAGGCACTTGCGTGCTTGGTAGCTGAGTAGAAGAGCCTGTGAAGTAAGGGGACTGTGTGCTAATGATGACTTACTTGTTTGTGTCAGCAGAAAGAGCCCTTGAGCAGCCCAGCTAGGTTAACGATTTGAGGATAAGTTTACCAAGAGATTAGACTTTAACAGAAGAAGATCCTTCAACACGTGTATGTATAATAAACTCAGTTTACAAAGCAATTAAGACGCAAACTTGAGTTGTTTGTTTCTGTGGGGTTTCCTGTGCAGTGAGGTCTGAAGACTTTTTCTGGACCATAAAATAATTCTTTTCAGGTGCAGTTCAGTTGAAGAGTTCTGATCTCTTTCAAGGCAGGTTGTGTGTGAACCAACAGCGCGAACTGGATCGCTATTCAAAATAGAAGGAGAGGGGGTTTAATCCCACTTAACTGATCTCATCTCTAGTAACATGGACTCAGTAGAAACAAGAGCATAAGAATATCTCAATTCTCAGAGTATTCTAACAAAATGTTTTCTGTGGAGGCCAAGCTAGTTTATTGTACCAGCTAAGGTATGTTTAACTCATGACTTCTTAACCAAAGAAGGCCCATTTAAACCTAGCTTGTGAGGACAGAAAGGAGTACAGAGCAGTAAAGTATCCTCCATATGCCAGATACATGTTTTTTTTCCAAGGCATTCCCTATTGCATGAAGGGTAGACAATATAACAGCAGTCTTCAGAGTACAATAGTAAAAAAAAAAAAAAAATAGAGCTAGGGAATAAAGTACAGCGAACCTCCTCGCTTCTGTCCTCTTCAGGATCATTCAAAGCACATTTCTGTTGTAATCTGCCAAGCATAGTAAACACCTGCTGTTACTTTTATTAGGGTAGTTGCTGGGGTCCAAAACAATAAACCCATGAAATCATTCTTACTAGGGACGTTTTATAAGGCAGCAATCTAGTTCTGTCTTTACATGGAAGAATGAAGTGGCTTCTGACTGGGGATGACAAATAGTTCATACTGTCCTAGAGTGTTTCTCCCTGCAGATCCCCATTCACACTCAGTTGAAGATTAATTTGTTCGTGTGACTGTGCAGCTCTGGGCAGCATGTTTCTGACAGACCTTCCCAAAGGCTCTCTGACTCTGAGGTACTCCACGTGGGTTCAGGGTCACATGCAGCGGCTCTGTGTGAGCCTCCATTTTGGTGCTTTCCTGTGAATGAGCAGGGTCCACACTCCCTATCGGGGCACAATCTGTCCATCAGCACGTGACGACACTATGAAAAATCCACAAAAGCCATGAAAAATCCAATAATTTCCCAACAGACAAACTTTGTCTGACAAAGCACAAATAGTGTGTCCTCAGACCTTAAACTATGCCAGCAGTTATCGAACATCACTTGGCCTCGCGTACAGCTGAGCACTACTGTGTTTCTGCTCCCCCACCACATCCCACCCACCCAGCAAGTCCCCCAGGCAACAGCACAGGACAGTGGTGCAGCTCCAGCAGCGCGTGCCGCAGTGTGCGGAGACAGGCACTGGTACTGCTCTGTTCTTACATGCTTGTAAGCTCACTCTCCCTGGCCTTGCATCACAGGCAAACGATCGTTCCCACGCAGCTTAATCCCCTCTATTGCTTCCAGGTTATCAGATGAACAGCACGGATCCCAGTAATCAAAACTACTGTGCTGCACAGATAATTGGGAGATGACAGGCCAATGTTTTGTTCAAGGGCTGTCACAACTTTGGCTGCTCAGGACAAGTGAAACAAATTTTTCTCTTGCAAGATATATAAATCATACCACAAGTCATGATAGATTTGAGGGTTTTTTTAATGCAGCAGGCCGACCGGGCTGAATATTGAAAACCTTAAAAACTTCATTCTGAAAAGCCTTATTCCTGGGAAATTATACATCACCAGTGCTCACAGTCTGATGGAGGCTACCAACGGTGCACAAAGAAACCTGTGGAAAAGTAGCAGCTTCCTGGGAAAAACTGCTAAACGTCCCTGTGCACCTGAAATACACATCAAAATGATCCACAAGTGGATGGCCGCTCTAGTGCCAGATGCTCACCTCCATGACAGGAGCGCAGCAGCACCTGGCCATCATCACTTAGAGGTTGGGCTTGACTGGCAGGGCTGGGGAACAGGCTGCCCAGCAGCACTTCCACGTGGCTGGAGACACTGTCATACCGCAGGGCCACCATGCCCTGGGCAAGAGTTCAGCCAGCTGCTGGGGCACGGTAGCGGTGCCGGTCTGCATCGGTGAAGCTGGAGACGGGTTTGGGGGATTTGGGAGCTGGTGGTTCGGCCTGCCAACGTCAAGTGCTGCTTCTGCTGCTGACCTTCCCCCTCGCCCCATGAAACAGGGCTGGGACATGCAGTAACAAGCGCCAACACAAACCTCTCCAGGCAGTCCCCTGAGCACATAAACCTGGGGCTGACGTCTTTCCAAGTGCAGAAGCAGTTCCCAAACCTGAGGGTCACACAGGGGTGCTCATTTTAGCCTGGACCTCCAACAAGATCTGGCTCATCCTATCTCCTATAAATCACCTCACCCAATGCCCCAGCAGAAAACAGCTCTGTGGGAACCAAGAGAGCCCAGGGGAGTGAACCCCCTCGCAAAACTGGTTACACAGGAGTGAAATAAATGTGTCCTTGGAAAAGCCCCCCCCCCGCCTGACACATTCTCCCCTTACTACCCAGGTGAAAATAGCTGCAACACCACAGTTAAGCACCACTCCAAAAGGACATGCGTGTTTGTGTGCCATACCGTGTTTTCACTTTTTTTTTCCCTCTTTTTTAATTTTTAATCCTTTCGCAAACACCTTGGCGTGAACCACTGCCAAGTCAAATGCTACCCCTTGGCAACAAGGGGACTCTGAGGAGCAAACCTCCTCTCTCCACACCTGCCGGAAGCAAGTGGAGGAGAAAAATCTTGCTGAGCTCTCAGTGCCTTTCAGGCAGGGAGGGCAGGGCATGGCCCAAAGGCAGAGCCACCAGTAAAAGCCTCCCTGGAGAACTTCTGCCCACTCCCCATGGAGCGTTGACTGCTGCCCATCGGCATCTCCCTGCCGCTATCCAGCTCCTCCACTCAACACCCACTGTGCTCCTCAGCGTCCGGCATCAGACACAGTAACCACCACTCCCTGCTCTCCAGCGATGGTCCCACACCAGGACTCCCTCCACGCTCCCTGCCTCCCCCTTCGGCTGCGGCCAGCAGGTGCCCAGGAGTGCTCCAGCTCCATGGCTGGGCCATTTCGCAACACGGGGCTTTCGGCCAGATGGGCGGCAGCTTCCCTCCAGCCTGCTGCCGTGACAGCAACAGCTCTGCTAAGACCCCATGGCCACTTCTGGAAAAGTAAGGACAACGCATTTCCCATCTTCCTTTCTGAGGTGCCCAGCTCTTGGGGAAATATTCTGCAAATGGCTCAGCCTGCACACCTCTACTGTGTGCCCTCTTTCCTCTGACCTTACTCCCCCAACTCATCCAAACCCCTTTGAATTACATGAGCTTCTGCTTTCATACAACTGCACGTGTCGGTACCTGCGTTAGGTAGTGCATTCCTCTCCTGTTCTGCCCAACAGCTCAGGAATGAAAATACCTAATCGTACTGCTCTGAAAAACACCCTCCTCCTGCTCAACCCTGCCCTGCGCTCCTGCTTTGGCAGGGAAACACAGCTCTTCAGAGGTGCAATCTTGCAGCCACTCATCTCTTGCATTCAGCCTTGTCCCTGGCAATACCCTTTTCAAGCTGCGAGCTGAATTTTGCTGATGTCAAACCAGCTTTGGGTTGATCAGCTCAAGGTTTGGGAGATGCCACTCACAAATCATCCCTTTGGCAAGGGAAAAAATTAGCCAGTTGCCAGCCAGATGGGGACCATTTCTTAACCCCTCTTAGGTACCTTTCGCCCAGTATCGTACAAGACCAACAGCAAAGCTCTTAATAGGCTTTTCCACTACGTAGGGTCCACACTCCCCATCAGAGCACAATCTGTCTGTTAGCATA